TGCTAAAAGTAATGCGATATCAAGCATAAAAATATTTTCAAAAACTCGAAATTTTTAACAATGTGCAAAAGATAGATTGAAAAAAGATTGTGGAATATTAAAATTGTATTTGAATGTGATATAAATAAATATGGAATAAATTCAGTGCAGAAATATTTTGTTATTTTGGTGCAGAATTACATAAAATCTCTAACCGTTTCCAAGAAATGGCGGTATAGCTAATTTTCCGATGGTATCTGGTTGTAATAAATTCTGAAACAACTAAAGAAAATAAAAATAATACGAACTCAACTTATTAATTTTATTCGATTATATTAAAAGGTTTTTCTTATTATTAAACAAGAAAAATGAATAGATCGACAGGCCCTTTCAGCGCCTAACAAAAACATTTAATTAATAAGATACCAATTAGTAAAAGAACTTTTTACATGGCCTCTAACATACCGAATATAAAGTTTAAGCATGAATCCCTACTAATTGCGGTGTAATCTTTTTTTCTGCTTGCTCTCAACCAAACTGATTTTACCACAATAAATTGCGGTGATTAAGACACCCGGAAGTGAATTTTAGCAAAAAAAAAGAGAGCTTGTATTTTGTTTTTTTTGCGAAGATTAATACCTCTCCCCTGTGGGTTATATAATTTGTCTTTTATCTGACAGTTTGGAGCTTTGTTTCTGTTAAAAAGCTTCATTAATTACCAATTTTTGTTCTGATAAAATGGAGAATAGAGACAAATGAAGATAATATTTCTTATTTGATTTATAGAATTATTAATAGCCTTATTTTTGCGATAAAATCGAGTGGCATGCATTTTCTTTAGATTCCCGCGTAAATTACAAATATAATTACAAAAAATTTGTAGATTTATTAAAGTTAAGGTCTAAAAAATATTTTTTTTCTTTTTTTTTCAGGAAATATACATTTTGCTCAAAAAACTATATGGAATTTTCGGTACTACATCCAAAACTAAGTCTCTGTTTGAAAAAAATGTTGAGAAAATAAATTGAAAGTAATCATTGGCTAAATCGAATACATTAATAACGGGTGAGTTTTGATTTTTAGTGGAATGTAGTAGAAAAAAAGAGGGCACAATGAAATCTACTAAAAAAATATTGATGAAATCTACTAAAAATGATGAGAAAAGCAGAAAAAAATTATCCCGAGTTTTGGTTGTCCCAGCACAACAAAAGTGCTCTCTAGTAAAATAATGAATAGAAAATGAAAATTCATAATTTTAGAGGATATTTGGTGGAAACATTTTCTTATTCCTTATTATTGATTTTGGGATATTTGATGTTGAATGAAGCCATTTTGCAACATAAATCCCGATAAATGTATGAGAAATTCTTCTAAAGGAATTCAATTGAGTGAAAATATATGTTTCATTTAAAAAAATTAACTTTGATAAGTCTGTAATAATTTTTGAAATATAGCTTTTATTCCCTCTAAAACTATTATTTTTGCCAAAAAATCGCCTCTTTTATAATTGTTCTATCATTGGGTTGGTTATTTGTAGAATAAAGTATAATATATAAGGTAAATAAAATTCTTTAATTTGAAGATGATTAATAAAATATTAAGGCGTATTTATTATTTGTTAATTATTCAGAATTTCATAATTTTGCGTTGATGGCGGTGGTACCTTTGGAAACAAAAACAAAAAACAAAAACCAAACAACATATTATATAGGGTGAATCATTGAAAAATGCTTCTTTATAGCAAAGTAACAGGGTGACTTATCCTTTGAGAACCACACTGTATATTTTTACATATTCACTACGTATATTCTTTGTTTAATACGGTTCCTAACGGAATATGAATAAAAGTCAAAATTAAGGTCCAATGTAAAAAAAAATTTCGAAACAATATCTTGTATATCAAAATTTTGAAAATTTGATTGCATATTTGAAAAGAGAACAAATTTATTTTGAAACATACGAGAGTTCTAGATTTTAAAAGTGAAAAAATAACTGAAAACCAAAACAGAACTTAATAATTTCTTGACATTTAAAATATAAATTGAAAATCAAATAAAGCAATTATAAATTATTTAATATGAAAAAATGAAATGAACCAAATGGATATATCACCACCCAGTATCTGAGTTATAAAGAATCAGAGACTTTAATGTACAAGCATTTTCCAACGAATCACACTATATAGAAAAAAAAATGATGATCAATGATCGATTCTAGGACGAGTACAAAGCTATATTATATATAACGCACACTATGTATATATATTAGTACGGTTAATAATTAAGGCAGTTCAGCTGTTCTATAAAGCCGCTAGGTGGTACTAGGGTAGGTCCTACGGTAAAACTACGTGGCTCCCTACCCCAAAGCCGTCTCGATAGGTATGATAGACAATTGACATTGACAGCGCTGTCATCGCCTTTAATAATGCGCCAAAGCCACCGAGAACAAAGTCAAAAACCCACTGAGGCTCGCTGTAAGGAAAGCGTTAATCAAACAAATGGAGCGAGAAAAGTAAAACGTGTACAAGTCACAATAACATATAAATACTACACAGGAAAAAAAAAGTGTCAAATAAATTATTTCAAAAAAATATTATAAGTAAAGTATGTTTTTCACGTATTTTTGTGAAAAGTAATAAAGTTTTCTAAAATTAGGTTTTATTAAAATTATTTTGAGAAAAATAATTTTAAAAAATTCGTATTTTTTTATTGCTATACATTTTATTATGGAAACCATCCGTTACCTTGAAAAATAATGCATATTTTATTGTTTAATGGTATATATAGCTATCGAATCCTTTATTATATCTATCTACCATGTTTTTTACTTTAAAATTCTACACACATTTCTTGAAATTTCTTAAAAGAAACATCTGGAGCTACATGGTCTCAAAATAAATAGATTTGAATTATCTCTAATTAATTGTTTTGGAATTTTAGAATATGTTTGAACCAAATTAAAAGAATCTATATTTCTGTGGCGTCCCATACTAAAATATGATCTAATGCATCTCGTTTTTTACAAATAACATCGTCAAATATAAACATAGAATTTGGCTTGGCATTTACTGGTTGAATTATTTTTATTACTAAAGATTATTGAAAAAATTAAAATATGACAATAAAGTGCCCAGAAACGTTCAGTCGTTGCCTGCTACAATATATGACCTTCTAATAGTGCCATCAAATTGTACTAAAACAAATGTAATGCTATTACTTGTTCAAACAAATGGATTGTGAGTTGAAAACATTTTATCTATTAATCGTTATACCAAAAAAATGAATAGTCGCAAGATGTTTTGTCATAGATAAAAGGGATGTGAAAAATATTGTAGCCATTAATAGTATTTGAAAAATTTTAATAAATAAATTAATTTGTTTTAGTGACTTTAATTTTTCCTAAAAAAAATAACACATTTGTACCTAATTAAAAAACTATATTAAAAATACTTCCCTTGCCAGTTTTAAACTGCACTTTGTACGCTTTATGTTGTATATGGAGTATTAATATTTATTGTTATATTAAATGAGCTTCAACTAATGGACCACACTGTAGAAAAGTTAACCGAAAATCAAATATACTAAACTAATAATAAAATTATTGTGTAGATATATATGTTATTGTAACAGTAAGATTTAATTTTTCTCATTATAACTGTATAAAATGTACATGATGATTCATTAACAATGGGTTTATGATTTAGGAGATACAGGGTCTTAAAAATTCATTGTTAAAGAAACATCGTGTATAAATGTATGGTAAAATATACAACAGATTAGCGAGTGTTTATTAAAACCAAAACATAAAAAAAAACAAATAAAGCAAAAAGGCAATTTACGGGTAAATAAAATTAACACAACGGATTAAAAACCAGGTACAGTGGAGTAGTGTTATAGGCGATTTATATGGGTAATTAAAAAGTATTTTCATTTTTTTTGTATTCTAAACTCCTTTCAAAACACTACGCTATTAATAATTAAAACAATGCAAAATCTCACATTCCTTTTCTAACATTTTGAATCATTAGAAAATTCCAATCACTCTACACAGGCACTTCTAAGAAACTTCCGAAGATGAACAATCAAAGGTTACCGGTATAAAAAATATTGGAGTATTGGAAAATGTTGCTCATTAAAACTAATTTCACAAATTCCATATTCAAATAATGAAAAATTATCATAAGTTCATGATTTTTTTGATGATTTTTATGATTTGTAGTGATTTTGATAATTTTTTTATAAGATTTTTTTATTGTGATGATTTTGATGATTTTGATGATTTTTTTATTGTGATGATTTTGATGATTTTGATTATTTTGATGATTTTGATGAATTATTTATAATTTTTTTAATTTTTTATGAATTTTTTCTTTAATTTTTTACGATTTTTTTTACACTTTTGATGATTTTGTGATTTTTTAAATACTTTTTTATAATTTTTTTTATATTTTTAATATTTTTTTATAATTTTTATCAATTTATGATTTTTTTTATGAATTTTATTTTTTATGTTTATGATTTTTTTATTATTGATGATTTTTTATGATTTTCTATGATTTTTATTATTTCTCAAGATTTTTATGATTTTTTATGATTTTTTATAATTTTTTATGATCTTTTATGATTTTTTATGATTTTTTTTTATTTTTATGAATTTATTGTTACCAGTCTAAGGCGATTAACCTACAATTTTATTTTAATTAAAAATTACAAATAAAGTACGATTTATTTATTTTTTATTATAGCTGGAGAATTTGATCATCAACATTTTTTATATATATGAAACAAGCGTTTTGTCAAAATGAATTTTCAACCAAGAAACTATTTTAATAACAATAAAATATTTATAAAATACATATTTGGCCAACTGAGTGGAAGTATTTTGTAACTTACAACATAACCTCTAAACATTTTTATTTTTTATAATTTGGTAACCACTCGATTGTTCTACCGTCATAAAGGAAGCTCGGACTAGAGACAAGGAAAGGATCAAAGGTCATCGAAGTCAGAGTTAAAACTTACTGAAACGTCGCCTTAGATTTCCAGTGAAAGTAGCCGTTTGGGGACTCACAGCGTTTATATCGTCTTTATCCCTTAAATCCTTGTAATTTTGGCAGTCGGCTCTTTGAAATTTTATATTAGGCACGGATAGCAATCTTTGGTCCCGCTTATCTTGTTGCTGCTGCTGCTTCTTCTTGTGTCTCGGAGGTCTTACAGGTGATCCATCGTCAGCACCTAGTTCTAGATTATCAGGTCTTGAAATAGAACCGACTTTTCTTCTTTGGTATTCGGTGGTGGTACCTAGAGAGCCTACCATGAAAGGAAATTCAGGTTCTTCTTCTGGAGAATATTCTATTAGATCGTTGTCATCTGTTGGTGTGGTACTTTGGTCCTCTTGTTTGATAACTGTTAAATCTATAACGCTTTGATTGTCTATAACTGTGTTTTCATCGGATTCGGGCGAAGTGTTTTCAGTCTCTTCTAAGTATTCCGGACATTCTAGCCCTGAGGTAGCATCATTATAAAATACGCTCCCCCTTTTATCTTTGAGGGAATTTTTGATTTTGATATCTACTCTAGATAATTGTCGCTTTAAATTAAAACCTTTCCACGTTGAAGATTTCCTTCGGTTTTGAGGTATGGGCAAAGCTTTTTCTTCCTCCAAGGCTTCGCAGGCTTGTTCAATGGGCGTGGGGCAAGGGGCAAAAGGAAATGGATTTTCTGGGGATCTTCCCATCTAAATCATGCACAAATATTGGGTGGATGTGTATACGGAAGGCGAGTATCAGCAAAAGTTAGCAAAAAAGGATAATAAGTTAGTCGCTATGCTGTTTTTTGCCTTAATACGCTTACCATACTTCAGTGAAATTGCTTTATGGCAAAAATGCTGTGGGAAGAACGCTATTTCTGATTGAAATTGTTAGGTAGGTTATGCTATTAAAATAGTGGAACATTATACAGAGAAAGGATTAATAAACTTTTACACCATTTAAAATGTATAATTGAGTAGAATTTCATTAAAGACTCAATGACATTTCTTAGGACAAAGCCTGAGAAATATACAAAATGTATCCAATTAATATTCTCAACCTCCCTAACAATATATGAAAACAGAATCTAAAATCTGCTTCTTGAAGGCATGTAATTTTAGTTTTTTGAAAAATGTTGAGACATTTTAAATTAACTGTTTTATTGATAAGCTTTATGATGGAGATGTACCTATATTTAAATTATGTATTTGTTTTTTTTGCATATATCACTCCAAATGATGTGAAAATAATACATGGTCGTATGAAAGTCAAATGTATTTAAATAATGTTATAAACATTTTGAGCCATTGTCCTAGCGTAAGAAAAACTAGACGTTATAAAAGTTTAATTTAATTTTAAATCGCCTTAAAATATTGTACAAATTTCAAGCAGTAACTGCAAAATAGGAAATATAAACATTTTATTTTGGAACTATTTAAATTAGTTTCTAGTTATATTAATTACGTTTGTCAAAAATTTAATTTTCGGGAAAACTATGGAATGAAAATAATTAGAAACACAAGCATAAAATTTCATTTACACAGAAATTAATGACTTAAAGCCAAATTATTGATTGGTCTTCATTGAAGTTACATAATTCTATTAAAAAATGCTAATATTAAAAAAAAGTTAAAAACTCAATTTCCGGAAAAACAATAGAAAACTTTAGAAAATACATACATTTAAATTTGTTTACAAACGACCATTATTACATTTTTTATGAAGAATGAGGAATTTAAAATTTGTTATGTAATTTAGTGCAGAAAAACGTGTAATATCTGTACAGTGCATCAACAAATGTATGTGATACCTTTTATTTACTTTTTTTATTAGAACAATAATTAATAAAAAACTAAGTCACAACACACTGTATACAGTATATATTGGATTTCTAACATACATTCATGTTTATTTGACAGTCTGGTTGATAGTGATACATATTTATTTTAAATATTAGATATTATGTAGTTAAAAAAATTGTATGTATTTAGACAAATTAAAGCAATTTAAGGAAAATTTTTAGTTTTTCTATGGTATAAATACATAAAAATTGATATGTTTAATATATACAGTGTGTCTAAAAAATTGGCAGCAAATAAAAAAATAAAAAACTGGAAACAGTATATTCATTTTGGCAGAAAAAAATTACATTAATAAACGGATTGTCTACTGTGATGTCCATTATCAACCACATTGCGAAATAAAACTGAATTTACCTATTTAAATTTATATAATTACCAAGATTACCAAGAATCGAATGATTTATAAAAAAGCTATAAATGAAGGTGACGTAAAGTCTAAACCTGTTTGAAAAGCTTTTATGTCGCGTAGTTGCGTTAAGTTTGCTAAAGTAAAACAATTCTTCCCACAGCACAGGCACTATATCGCTAATCCTTTAAATAGCCTAAACGTCCTAAATGATCAACTCGAGGCGGATCATGAAAAATAAAAATTTAATTTAACTAAATTCAGAATCATATAAATTAATATGTTGAAAAATCAACATGCTCATATATATGAATATAAAAAAATAATTTAAACTGTTAAAAATCATACGGGCATTCTAATCACTAACCTGGTCTATACTGGGACTGCGAGGTTGCCTATCTTCCCTATCTGTGTATATGGGCAGCGTTTCGGCTACCGTTTGTTGATTTTTTTTCGGACTTCTTGGTACTCTGGAATAAGGATCCTGAGCCCCGTACAAATCGGGACTACCGACGTTAAGAAGACATACTCTTTGCTCTATATCTATTATCACAATGCCGGCTTCATTACCATACGCCAATCTAAAAATTAAAAAGTTTTTTTATGCATTTCAATAAATTAATTATTAAGTTTTCCTCAAATATAAATTATCTAGTCAAAATTAGAAAAATCTTGAATAAAATGTCGTTTTGTGTAACTCGTTTATTTTGCTAAACCTCGCTCCGCTCGTTTCGCAAATATTCACTCGTTACGCTAAATAAAGAATTTTATCAATACCTATTAAATATACTAATTACATTATTTACTTACAGTCCATATGAACTATTAATTGTTAATGCAGTAATATGACTAGGTGGTTCTCCATTATTCCATGGAGTTAAACAAACTAACTGAGCTTGAAAACCAGGGAGTTTCTTTTGAACACCAGTTTTTACTTTTAATGTTACGGAATCCTAAAATAAAATACACATAATAAAATTAAAAGGAAATTATGTTAAAAATTAATTTCTTGGGAAAAAATAGAAACATTTAGAAATATAGGCATTACAATTTTTTTGGTAGTTAAAATTTTATTTATACCAAAACTGAAGAGTCTAGAGAAAATTATTAAGTACTTAGTACATTATTCTATTAATAAAATGCTTATATTAATAAAAACGTGTATGTTGAAAAAAAACTCAATTTCCGGAAAAACAATGGGAAACATTAGGAAATATATACTTTTTTTTGGAACTATTTATATTTACATTTACTTTCGGAAGTAATTAAGCATAAAATTTCATTTACTTCGAAATTAATAACTTAAATAACAAAAAATTAACTTGCACAATACTGCATTTATAGAAAAATTAGAATAGATACCTTTTTATTGTCAAAATCCAACATATCCAATTTACTACCGGATCCAGCGCTACCCGGTCCCGAAAATTGACAGTCCGGCGATATTTCACCTTCTTCAGGAACTTCATACGTTATAGGTATTTCCAGAACGGTCACTTCGTCTACACTGTCTATTTTCTTATAAGTAAACAGAATCACGTGACTAGAAGCACCGGCCACACAAAGTTTTCTCGATTCGGGACACAAGGATATAATTTCGATGGCGAACGGGTCATCATCGGATTCCAACGATCTGGATTTTGGCTTTTCGAATACCTTGGCAGTTTTCAATTTGTATAGGACTTGTAGCGTTCCAGCACTGGCATCCCAAAATTTTATACTTCCGTCTGCATGTCTGAAAACATAAAGTATTCGAGTATGTATCCGCACGTTTTTACTAATACCGCAAGTTCCGATTACTTACCCGGTCATAATAATTTCAGCGTATGTACACGCATGCGCCGGCCACGTGCCGCCGTTTACGGGCCAGTCCATTTCGGAGAAACCGCTTCTTTTCATGGCGGACGCTCTACCTACTGAATAAAAGGCCGGTATAAGATCGGCAGGACAATCTGCTAAATAACTACAACACGTCACGGGAGATTCGTGAATGTCCATCGGGTAGGGATTCTCCAAACAAGGGAATCCGGGAGTTTGGAGGTCCATTATCACTAAGTCGTTTTGGAGCAGGGCTATGATGGCGTACGGTTCTTGTAGTTCTGAAATTATACGGATACTTAAAGTAGTACAGTAATGAAGATGTTAAAAAGCAGGTATTACCACTGGTATAAGGTGATTCACAAAGCGTTATGAAATCTATAACGTTATGTTCCATTTCCAGAACGGTAGTTGTTTTACTAAATACGACTGTTATACAAGGAGTTCTGCTAGCTTGGTCATAAGGCATTCCACCAGAAAATATCACATATGCTTCCCTGAAATAGTATTTTTTAAGAAAATTATCTTTGGCGTATCATAAAAGGTATACACATTATAATAAAGGGTGATTCATTAAGACCAGCTACGGGCCATAGATACATATTATCGTGCGTCCCTCTATGCCTTATTTAGGCCTCTTACAACTTTCACTGTTCCTGTTAATAAATAAATTAGTTTTAGTGAATATACATATAAATAAATGTACTGCAACAACTTTACAACAGATAAACTTTTTACGAATTTTGGCTAGTGGCATACCTTAATGAATTACTCTGATAATAAACATCAATAATCAATAATAAATTACCCTGTCCTAGACGTTTTCCATTCAACTTTCGTTATAGGTTTACACTGTTCCGGTTTACCATCTTTAGTAAATTTTGCTGGAAAAACAAAACGAAATCTAAATTTTTAAAAACAATAAATCAGTACGGAATATTTTTTTACCATGAGGTTGGGATATATGGATGTACTTAGATGGCGATTTTAAACTCCAGGTAGTTAAAGTACCATCCGTATGTGAACACATAAATTGTTTTCCTTCGTGGTGCCACGTGACCGACCTTAATTCACTAGTCAGCCACCTCATGTCCACCATTCTACTCCTCAGGTCCCATAACACTACTTGACCCGATTCGAATCCTATTAATAACTAAAATGATATTAAATTAGTTTAAAGTGTTCTACGGTGTCTGTTATTACGAGGGATGCCTTTTAAGTTTTTGGAATAATAATGAAAGAATAAAATACTTTTTATAAATACTCTTTTTAAGCTTATTAAAACATAGATATGCCCTCAAAAGAGAACAATATTTAGACTTTCTAAACAATTTTTGACACACATTCATCGCCGGGGGTGACTTTAATGCCAAATATACTCTTGGTATCTAGATTAACAACTAACAGCAGCTTTTAGAAGCAACCAAACAGTTAAATGTCAAATTTAATAATATTGAAGTGGTTTTATAAGACACGAGTCTTCATGCTGATGTAAATAAACAATCGAGAGTATTTTCTGAAGGTACATGGTCTGAAAATATGTGATGGAGATCATCTTGTTTAAACAATAATTAAGTTTAAATTATCTCTAATTAATTGCTTAGGGATTTTGGGATATGTGTGGGCCAAATAAAAGCAATATATATATATATGTATGTGGCGTTCCATACTAAAATATGAACTAATAAAATCTTGATTTTCACAAATCACAGCATCAAATAGATTATAAATTTTAAAAATACTCTTTTGAATACGTTCGAACTAATTCTCTAATCCAAGCATATTAACACCTAGATATGCCCTCAAATGAGAATAATATTTAGACTTTCTTAACAAATTTGGATATATATTCATCGTCAGAGGTGATTTTAATGTCAAACATACTCATTGGGGTCTAGATTACCAACTACAAAAGAAAAACAGCTTTTAGAAGCATAAAATTTATTCATTTTGAACTAGAAATATTATTAGCTGTGAAACATGAGTCTCAGATTTATGCTGATGGTAATAAAAAATTTATAGTGTTATAATTTTAGAACTAGAAGGGTTATATGAATACTGGAGGCCCCGTAGCATATTTTAACTTTTAATATTACCTAGGGGTTAAATAAAAAGTATTGGAGAAATTAAAAACCAGTTCATATACTACAAGAAAAAAACTACAGAGTTGTGCAGAAATAATAAAAAAACATTGGATTGAATGAGCCGAACATTTAATATTCCTCTTTGGAATAGAAACAAAGGTACGGACATCTTACTTTAATTAAGAGTGACTCTTAATGTTGAATTTAAACGTTAAAATACCTACTGGCACTTATAGATTACCAGAAAACCATATTTTCATCACAGCATTCCACATGCATTCCTTGAAATTTTTTAAATGAAACATCTGAAACTACATGGTGTGAACATATGTGATGGATGTTTAGGTCATCTTGTTTAAACATAATAATTAGATTTGAATTATCTCTAATTAATTGCTTAGGAATTATCGAATGTGTTATAACATCTTAAATCACATCATCAAGTATAAATATAGAATTTGGCCTGGCAAAGAATCATCTGGAACTGCATAGTCTGAAAATATGTGAACATAATAACATTGGAATTATCTCTAATTAATTGTTTTGGGATCTTCGACTATGTTTGGGTCAAATAACACCAGTTCTAAATACAAATGGAAGTTGGGCAAAATGTAATCTACTGTCAATAGATTTGCTTAACATATTGAAAGTACATTTTAACTAAATGAAAAAGTATTTGCATGGAAAAACCTCATTCAAGAAGAGGGTGAAATCACACTCACAACTCCAAGAAGTAGTCACCGAAACGAAAGAAAATATTAATCCATAAAAAGCACCAGGATTTTATTTAATTACGAAGGAGATACTAAAAGAACTCCCTATCTTAATAAGTATGTACCTAGAATGTGGAAAGTGAGAGGTGATAATGATAATCTAAACCATGTAAACCACCAAATAGTTTTTTAGAAAATATTGTTACATTTCTATAGCGCTATCTATAGGGTTGTTTGTAAAAACTTAAAAGGCAGCCCTCTTATTTTCTATAATAATTGACTTACTTTACTAGCATCTAATGGATTATCACTTAAATGTACTATCATCCCTGGGTGTGTTTTTCGAGACCTGAAAATGAATAATTTTTTATTTGCACGAATTGTTTAGATTAGGATAACTTTTAAAGAAAATTAAGAAGGTGTGAAAGAAGGGAAAACCAAGAGAGTTAAGAAGTAATAACGAATTAAGTATTGTAGAAACTATAAGAGCTAAAACACTGAGATAGATGTAAGGAACGTAGTATCTTAGAAATGATGATTAGTAGAAGAATATAAGGAAAAAGAGATGAAGACCAAAAGAATGGCCAAAGAAATTTGTAGAAATAGATTTAAAAAGTTTAGGTTGTAACGAGCATTTTAATACTTGTTAGGATTTTATTTTTTTGTATATTTATATTTATTATTCAACCAACGTCGCGCATATGTCTGTTAAATGATCTAATGAAAAACTAATTTTATAAAATTATTTCCTTTTTAAATAAATATGCAAGTTATGTTAATTAAAGCGTATAATAGATATATAAAATGGTATATTTTCCATTTACTTACACTTCTATGGCTTTATTCCAATTAATTATATAACCAGATAGGTGAAAGTTTTCTATTTGGACTACATGCACGTTTCCTCGTTCTGTGCCGACGTACAGCCATTTTGATTGTAACGGAAGATGCATATACGTAATTCTGAAACAAAGTAAGTTTAATTAGTAATTGATCCTAGTTATTTCGACAGGTAAAATCAGTTTGGAAACTTACATCAGTGTAATTAATAAAGGGTCGGTAAATTTTTATTAGAAATATATTGGAATATTCTTAATCATTGATGATACACTTTATCTAATATGAATAAGAAAAAATGATGATTTATACTTTTTTTTGTTTATAATTTACCCATATATAAAAATAAATTATTGTCTTCGAATAATTTAAATTTTAATTCAACAACATCATTTTATGATAAACAAAGACTAAAGCTGTGATGAATCTAATCACATTTATCCCATGAAATCTATTTTCGTATTTTTCATAATTACCGATAGACAAATTTGAAGCAGCTCACCTTTCTTTTTGGAATTTGAGACTCTGCACGATCTGGGGGATTCTCTGTCGGTAATTCCAAAGGTGAAGGGTGTCGTCAGCGGTGGCCGATATAAGCGCTCCCTCGTTGACGAGGAATTGGAGGTGGAGGACGGCAGCGGAGCCCGGCGGACCATCCATGTCGTGTCGGACATGGACATCGACACCCGGTTGACCCAATCTGAATACTTTTGTTAAGGAAAACAACATGGACAATTCTGTTTATTTTTTTTGTAAATAATATAAGTTAAATATGCAGTAGCGTAGTTAAACATTTGTCAGAGGAGGGCGTTCATATATTGTCGAAACTCTAGATACAGTATGTGCTTGGGGCACTACTCATAAGACAAACCATCTAAAAGTGAATGAAAACAAATTGCTAACTCCCTCCCCGATGCTACGCCACTGATTCTGAGTAATAATTAATTATACTGCTCTTATTTTTTCGACGACTTTGTAAATTCTTTAAAGGGACGATATTTGTTCTGGTAATATAAGATCAAGATAAATTGCGCTAACGAATAGAATGACAAAGCAAGAAAGGATGATAGTGAAAAAGCAAATATATTTAAAATTCAAATTAGACAACCGCGATCGCAGGATATCGACTTAACATAATTGCTGCGGGTGGGAATTAATAGAGCATAACTAAATTTACGTAGAATTTGAATAATTTAATGGCTATAGAAATAAGTATCTATCTATAATTGAAATAAATCTGTTAGATATAATACAGGATATCTCAGAATGAGTGGACAATCCTCCAGATTCGGCCAAAACACATAAAAATAAAATGACAAGTTCCTATAATTTTTATTTAATAACTGACGCCCATAAAAATCTGCCAAGATGCATGTTTGCCGATTCATACAATAGTCGGTTAGAATTTTTTTGTTTTTAAATGTAAGTGATGTTGTTGACTTTGTAGTTGGAGCGTGTAGAATGTTTTAAACCGTTATCTATAAGATATTAAATGTCCCCCTTGAAAAAACCGTTGTTACCGCACTGCAGAAAGCACGCTTAGATGCGCTTCACGTTGATCGATTTGGAACTTGTAAAAGGATTCCATTTCGACGTAGAAAACCGTTTCACTATTCCTTTTATGTGCATTTCAGGTTTTCGTGTAGCCAAGCGAATGATCACAGCAGGTTCGTTGCTAGTTTTAATATTTTATGAACAGCCTCGTGCATTCCTAACGGAGTACATCATTTAAAAGAGAGACATTTTAGCCACAAATCTTCTTTCTATCGAACTTAACGGCATGTAAGGCTCTTTAGTTGAATAAATTGGTTCTTAAAGGAATGAGAACACGGGTTTTACTTCATCGATAACACCTAAGTGGCCAATTTTATCTTTATAAAAGAAGAAGCATTATTAAAGAATTGACCAGCTCAATTGTAAGTTTAAAAAACCGAAAAAAGTATATATATATATATATAAGAGGGTTTAATTATATATATATATATATATATATATATTACAATACAATTTTATTGAGTCCTTTAGATATAGTACTGTTTTATGGTTATAGATAATTAAAAGTGGCCACATAACACTTTCTTGTGATACCCCAAAAGCACTTAATATTTCTTAAAACCAACATTAACCAGTTATCTGAATCTTTTACACAGTTTGCTATATCCAAGGACTAAAATCATCTTTCTAAGTTTTTTTCGCGTGTAATCGTCTGAATGGATCTTACTTTCACTCTGTACCGTTGACATAGAAAGGGCCGCATCCATCCGGGTTATTTCGGGGTAGCGAAACGAGCGGAAGGATGGATTCCAGAACGTTACCAAGCTAAGGAAGGATCCACAGGATATGCTTTACCGACCTGTGGATTATCATTAGTCCTTTATCCCGACAGGAGGAGAGTTGTTGAATTATAATTTATAACCCTCCGCGAAGATTAATGCCTTTTCACGAAGTCACGGTGATGAGATGGCGAATGTTAAAGGAGGGGATGTTATAATTGTTAAATGTTAAATAAAACATTATTTATTTATAGGTATATAAGTATTAACAATCACATTTACCACAAAATTAAAATAATTGCTATAAAACGGTCAAAAATTAATAGAAAACCATTGAATTAAGTATTTCAAGTGTTAAATCAACAAATAAGTGCAAAATCCAGTATTTTCTTGTTTATCTAAGCTTCTACGGCAACTAAAGTTGTAGGTTTTGTCAAATAAGTCACTTGCGTTCATTTGGGGCTATTTATCTAACAAAAAGATGTATATTATTGTGATATTATTTAGTACACTTCTTACTTAATGTTGTCTTATTATTTGATGTTGATGAATTTTATTTAATTGTCAGTCATTTCGTTCATTAAAGCCTTGCTAAAGGTCTTTTGCGTTTATTACAGTTATACATTCTGTACCTTTATTACTGTAACGTAGATTTTAGGTATCATGGCTGCTTGGACTACTATCGATTACATCCAGTTCTTCCATTATCCACCTCTAACAATTCCGCCGGGAAAAAATGATCTAATTGTTGGGCAATAGCAATTTCCATTAAACGTACAAATTCCGCAATAAATTATCTACGACCAAATCTGTTAGCGTCACGTCTGGTCACCGATCCGAAGCTGGAATTAATTTTAAATTTGTGATTGGCTACCAAACAAGTAATTTCATAATTTCGACGCGTCTGCAATTCGTCTAATAATTGGTACCATTGGCGTACACGCGTTCAGCGTGATGAATTTCGGATGGATCACATACATAATAATTGAATTTTGAATATAGACGTTTATTGCAGACGTAAATATATACGTCACTTTCTTTCCCCCCATTACAATGTGAAAAAAATCTCTGGAACACGTCTGTTGAATTATATTTAACATGTTGCATTCATCGCGGTGCTCAGTATTGCAGCAAATATACACTAAAAAAAATCAGACAACAAAAATTGTCTCAGATTTGAACTAAAAGAAAGTGAATATTAATTGAAATAATAATAATAATGGAATTATTTTATTATTTAGTTATTTCCCAAAAGTCTTTAGTTCCCACTAGGTTAAATAGCAAATCCCATACTTAAATACTATAATCTACAATCTACAAGAAAATTCAAAATATGGTAAAGTCCTCAAATTTTTTTTTTCTAATATGAAAAGCAAAAAAAACGAGCCCACGTTGGGCGCCAAAAATAAATGCTACCTACTTTCTGTGCCTAAGCACCGAGGTGGGATTTATGTCCATCCAAAGTTGGATGCCGACTAACTACAGTGAAGAAGGGGGTGAGTCGTAGCAAAAGTTATGTTCTTCAGTGGGCCCCAGGAGTTTAACCTCACATCCAACAATCCATGTCACAGTTCACTACCAAACTCCAAATAGAAAACTATAGCATCTCCTCTACAAGGCCATCAAGCGGCTACAAATCGAGTATGCTCCTAATATATTAAAATTGTACTTTACTATAAAAATAAATGATGACAGTTAGCAAGTGGGGATAAATAATAAGTTAAGTTCAATATATACCCAAGTTTAATAATATAAATATATAAATTATTGTGTTGACATGGGGGGTCCACTTCGTTACTACTATGAAATATACTAATATTTACCAAATTAATAACAATTAAATCACTTAGTACATTACTAACAGATTCCCCAACTATTAACAGTACTCCAGTATCACTGGGAGTAATATTTACAACTAAATGCTATATCAAGCTAAAAAATCATTAAATGGGACTAAGGGTAATCGTAAAACTATAACACATGAGGTGTGTACTATATTTATCAAAGAAAACAAATAATAGTGTATTATTTACGGACGCTAGGGGTAAAAACAAGTAAAACTCTATTACTTATTAAAAATATTAATTACCCATCAATAATATAACCCACGAAGAGCTCTTGGTGAAGTGTTTCAGGTTTAATAAAAATGTACTGTGAACTAAACACCCCTAAACCTCGTTTACATTAGGTTTAGATAAAATTAAATACTAATAACACCCCCCAATAAAATAGATTAAATAGTAATAAGTGATATAAAAAAAATAAGATAGCAAAACTTGCGGTACACAATGACTTCTTTCCAGTAGACTTTGATGTCTCTGCTTCGTTAGCAGCATAATAATCAATCAGCTGGTCACAAGATGTGCTAGTCAGCTCGTCACAAGAATACTGGCCCGTCACAAGAATTGATAGGCCGTCACAGAAGTGTGTGCCCGTCACAAGAATACTGGCCCGTCATAAGAACCCCAAAGAAACCGTATAAGATAAAACACAGCGATAACTATTTATCCCTGATTATATAAAGAAGTTAAAATTAAATAACCAGGTACCTACATAGCCTTCTCGTGAAGCGAGGTCTAGAAATAGGTAAAACTACTCAACGTTTACTAGTTAATTAAAGTTCGGCTTATCAATTTATGTAGGTAATCTTCAGATTTACAAAGTAACAGGATAGACGGCTCGTAAAGCGAGTTCTACCCAACAATTACATTTAATAAGCAAATTACACCCTTAGATTTCAAGATACTACCCCTAATAGTTCATCCCATTTACTGAAAATATATACAATGAAAAGAACATAACCTAGGGTTAGGTCTAAGTAAGCATTCTAACTAAAATCAAAGCATATTTAACTCTCACAGCTAAATAGAGGGAGAACACTATGCACCAGATCAATTGAACGACAAATTCGTGAACGGCTTATTCAGAAAGACTACATATATATGTGGGCACTGAAATAAAAGAACGAAAGGTCTTACCAAAGAATATCTACGTCGTAACTTTAAATACTATGTAGAAAAAACTCACCTATGAGATTCAACACGTGGTTAAATATATCCTCCTAAGAGCTCCTACAACATGTGTTCACCAAAAAAATACTACCAAATCCACACTGTTGTAACTTAACACAAAAAGGTTGCTTCGTAATATCCCAAATGGATTGAAACGACTTCCAATAAATTTCGAAGCAGTACCTTTAAAACAAAATCCATGTGTGTCGAATATCAATCTAGAAAATTTCCAGGCGGAAAACGTCACTTCAAAAAAAAAACAGTAATACCAACATTCCTCAGTGACAGATAGGTGTCCCATCAGTGCCTTCTATTACGAAATAAATTCTTAACAGAGAGGGCTAAAATAAGCAAACAAAGCCTCTAAAACGAAATAAACAGCCTAACTAAACTCAAATAGAGGTCCTATCTACCCC